CAACCAAGCGATTCTGTGATTCTGTGATATTCTACCTTTTTACACTGAATAAAAGAGGAGGGGAGACATCCATTGACCAGTCACAAATAACAATTCTAACAACATCTGGGAAGAAAAGCAAGTCTTTATATTATACCTTTAGATCCAGGAAAACCTTGGTCACCTCGCTCACCCTTAACGCCTGGGAAGCCAGGAGATCCTTTTGGACCTGAAGTCAATGGAAATATTCACATGAAAATTCAATAATTTCTTGATTTGTAAGGATATGTGCAGAATAATAACATACAACCCCATGACCATGCAAAAGCTATGACTTTATTTGCAGAAGTACTTTTAAACTGTTTGCAAGAACCAGATACAAACAACAGCACTAAGTGACCAACGAAATGATGACTGAAAACAATTGTATCTTTAATTAATATCTTTCTCTAAATTATAATTATTTTTTTCTATTAATAACTGCATTCTTTATACACATGGTGTCTTCATGCATATGACAGTGACAGTAGCAGCAATACAGGCAGTGAGATACCGTGCCTATGTTTCCTCAAATATAGCTACAATATTTGCCCCACCAATTCTCAAGAAAATATTTAAGATTCTTGACTGGTAATGTCTTAAACTTGAGAAAAATCTCGATGCTCTTGTACACTTTTTGATGCAGCTTTCAAAATCTTGTTTCAATAATTTTTAACATAGAGTCAGCATTCTTTGAGCATCTTTTTTGAGACAGGAAGGATATGACAGACACATCTTCAAATATTTTTTAGGAACATGGTAAATTTTCTTCTCACCTGGAACACCTGGAACACCTGGAGGTCCCAGATCACCCTTTTGTCCAATATCTCCTGGTAAACCAGGACTACCCTGTATAAAAGAAAATGTTATGTACAGTTATCCTAAACTATTATGATATGACTCTCAAATAGGCTGTGTATTTTTGGAAACAAATAAAAAAAATAATATCAGAGAAAAGCCATTAAGTTTAAGGAATGTTTATTCTCTACCTTGAAGATATGAAAAGCTTCTCTTACAGGAAGAAGTGTGACACCCTGTTCTTACTAAACTATTTTTTGCCTTACAAAGATACTAGATCAGAATAAGGTCTCACTAACAGTATAGCTAATAAAAAGGTCCTCAACCACAGATTTTATTGTTATGAAAAACATTGGTAAGTACAAAGCAAATACTGATTTCAGTGCAGACCCAGCAGGTGGTTGCTAGTTAGATAATTAAATGGGGTAATTCTGGACCACAGCAGTCTTGAAACCCTGTACATTCATATGCGGAATTACATTAAATATGCTCAACAATTTATAATCCTTTGAAGATTTTTACTTTCAACACGGCTAAAATACTCAAGAATTTACACACTTCAAACACAATGGGAACTCCTCCTTCTGCCTTCACTATTATTAAACTGCTCCCCTGAAATTAATGGTAACAAGTTCACTGTAGCCTCACTTCAAGGAAAACCAAGGCCATATTTCAAAAAACACTGTAAACAGTAATTTAAATGCCTGCTGATTTCCTTTTCTTTTTTGTCTGTAGCAGATTATCTCAAAAAAGCTTGTAAGTATAGGGTTTTTGCCTGGCTGAATCAATATGGCAGTAACAGTCCCCTATTTAATAAAATGTGGAACACAGGTGGAGGAAAAAAACAAAATCACTTTGCTAAGTAACTTCATGATGGGAGGTTGGAGATGTGAACTGAGTATTCAGTGAAAAAGAACATCAATGGAAGGATTCATCTCATCATATTTGGAGAGCAATAGAATAGACAAACACACAGGAGTGAGTTTTCATTTGATGTAAGTTAGAAGTTTATAATAAGCTAAGAAGAACAAATGTCTAATACTTTCCACTGACTATAGCAGTAAAAGAGATGACTAACTCAAAAATGGACGCCAAACAGTGAGACTTCCGAAGTTAAACAAAAGAAATGCTACTCCCTGAGTGGTAAGGGAGGTATTAATGAAGTAAGGTTCCCTGGTTACTCTCAGTCATACAGTCACCGTATGCAGGATTATTTGAAGAAATGGCCCTCTCCTGTATCATAATATGTGAACTTCTGTAGCACAGAACAGGAGGGCTAACATTCATTCAGAAGACTCAATCTCATTAAAAGAGGTTTTTTTAATAACTTTTTTTTAGGTTATAATTAGAAAATGGAATTATTTATAGAGGAGACTGTTGCAAGTTTTCTGTCAAAATACTTTTTCCGTAACAGTATGTGGTTTTTTAAACTTTTTTTTTTTTCCCATCAGATATAGCTTGGCAAACAACATTTTGTTTTGGATCTGTTCCAAACAAAACATAACAATTTCAATTTGTGAAAATGTTGAAAATGTTTGGTTTCTCATTTCAACATTAAAATGCACAGAAAAACCCATGGGATTTGTATTTCACTATCTGACCTCTGCATTTTTTTGGATAGTGTTTTTGGACAGGCTGTGTCACCCATGTTGTAACAAAATCTCTTTTCTGATATAGGTCACCATGTACCTGGAGACCTACAGTGACTGAGCTGTAATCGGGACAGGAGCCTGCCACACTGAGGAGGATGAAGACCATCTTAGTATGTATCACCAGAGGAAGTTTAATATTGAAACTCTCACTGGAATATTTCACACTGAGTTAACAATCCAGTACTATGCATTGTGGCTCAAGGATAGTCAAACATTTCCTTCTGACTGAAGGCATGGAATCAAAATCCTTTAGCATTTCCTATTATTGATCAACAAACAGTCTTGGACTGGAATATCAACCTGTGAAAAGCTTTATAATTTCCTGGGGTAAAGAAATGTAGCTCTTTGTAGAAATACTGCAAATTCTTAAAATAGGGAAAATATAGTGGAATTACTACCTTCAAAGCTGGTATGGTATGGTCTCAAAGGAAAAAAAAAAAGGCATAATGTTTTTGACACTGACATAGATCTAGCACCAGAACACTGAAGCAAATCCTTAATGTCTCTGTGAAGTGACTCCTGAATGCAGAAAAGAATGCAGTAGATATCTCTGCATTATCATGAATAATGTGGACCTTTTAAGTTCATTATCAGTATCCTGCCTTTCACATCCAAACCATATTCCTGAGTCTTCCTTCCTTTTGTTGAGTGATGTTTACCTACTTTCTTATTCTTTCTTCCATAAATCTTATTATCATTTTCTCAGTAGGAAAGAGGAAATGAAAACTTTAAATATAAAGCGTATTTTTCAGCGTGGAAAAAGGCAACAGACACTCCAAGAGAAAGCCTATAGAAGTCCAACTACTCTGGGTGACCGTCCTATTCTACTTCATTCCCCCTAATACACAGAAAAGGGACTGTTTTAGACCAGGGAAAATGAATAATATATAACAACAATGTATTAATAGCATTGCCTGTTTGTATTTCTAAATCAGCAGTTATATTTCATCACTGACAGTACTGAAAGTGCACTTTATTTGAAAGGCTTCATAACAAAACCAAACAGTTCAGGTATTTTCAGAAGACAATTTATCGTGAAATATGCAACCTTTAAAATTAACTACTAATGCATTTGCAGGATTTATGGATGTGCTGCAGCCATCCCGTACTGTTAATACACTGTAAATTATTTTCTGGGTGTTGTATGTTACCACTCACTATCTGTAAATTTCTAATAAGTTCATTAGCTCACTGGAGCTTATTGGTAGGCAGCCTTTAAAAGAAGAGAATTGAAATGTTTTCTAACTGACTATGCATTGTCAGCAGGGAGTCCAAAGGTACTATGAGCACAACTATTTTTTTGAACAAGAAACATCTATGATTAATATATCCATTAATTACAAGAACTAGATTTCAGCAAATCTGGAGTGTACTGAAAGTAACTTACTGGCAGTCCCTGGAAACCTGGATCACCTTTGACTCCTGGACCCCCAGGAGTCCCAGGCCAGCCATTGCTCCCCTGCTCTCCTTTGGCCCCTTTCACACCTGGAGGTCCTGGTGGCCCTGTTGGACCTGGTAAACCTAAAAACCAGAAGAAGAGAGCATTTAGTGGCAAAATTGTTCAGAGCAGTACCTGATGGAGGATGAGCTGACTTAATCTACAGATGGGCAGAACCAACGTAATTATTGTAACAACATTTCAAGAAAATAAGGAGGAGAATCTGTTGCAGGGAGGTCCACATGACTCCCCATCTGACTGGACATCTATCGTTTATCAGCTTGTGGCTTATGGAAAATAGTGGAGAGTTTTATGTATGTGCAGAACTAACAGATGGTACGTTCTCAGGTATGAACATGCTAGAGACATACTGCAGCTCTGCTCTGCTCTCCTCCTTAACCTCTAGCACAAGGGCACTGCCAAAGTAAGGCCATGCTGGGACATTTCTAAACACATTAACACTCCAGGACATAGGAACATACAGCCATGGCTGCCTCGGAACAGTAAATAAAGTCCAGAGGGACACATGGAAATGGGAGGCAAACTTCTCAACATCAGAAGGACTCCTGGACAAAACCAACTGCCTGAGGACATAAAATCAACTTGTTCTGGGACATAATGCCAAACTGCCTATGAAGGAGAGCTTTAGTCTGATCTGTGAGAAGAGGATATAAACAAGGATATGCAACACTGATTATATTATTAATCAATTAGGTGAGCTTTGATTAACAACAGTACATTAATACTAAAGAATTACCTGGAAGGCCAGGTTGGCCTTGGGGTCCTCTGTCTCCTTTAGGGCCCTCAATTGCACTTCCTGGTAGTCCAGGAAGACCTTGGCTGCCCTTAGGGCCGGGTGGACCAGCATAACCTGGTTCACCTTTCAGGCCTGGGATCCCTGGACTTCCTGGGGATCCTGGAAACCCCACATCACCTTTCGCACCTAAGAATTGAAGCAACCCCCAAGAAAATATTAGAGAAAGAATAACAATCACTGAAACCTTCTACCTTATTATTCACTCATAGTAAGCTTTATTCCTTAAGAATGCATTGACCTTGCCTTTATATATCTGTACAAAAATGCAAAACTTTAGGAAAACTGTATTATTCTCCACCTTATGCCATAAATTATGAGGAAAAGACTAGTTTGACTGACATATCTTTTCTTAGCTAAACTGATCACTGGGCTATTTTAATTCACTCTAAAAATAGATGAACATTCAGCAGCTCTCTTATCAGTTCTTCCACAAAGAATATAAAGCCCTCAAAGCCTTACTCCATTACAGTTATTATTGTCATAGCTGAGCAATAGAAGTTTTGCTTGACTAAGCACAAAAGGACTTGCTCCTGGAGAAAAAGGGAGTATTTTCTGTATTAAGATCTAGATTTAGACACTTGGTACTTACTTTCAGGCTTGTACAAATAGTTAACATTTGCAATTCAGTTTAATTTTAGTTCATGATTGAGCAAAAAGGATATAGATTAGCTGGTGTAAGTACAATAATAAGAGAAATAAAATTTAAAAGAACACTATCCCTGGCTCTTTGCCTAAACAGAACAGGGTCTTTAAATCTTGGACTTGTTTTTTTGGAACTACAATACATTTGGAACACAAATGATGTCAGCTGGATATCTATTTATTAGTCTAAAACCAGGTATTTTTAAATGAGGTGTGCTGGCAAAATGAGAGAGATGCATCAGGTGAGAAAAGTGCTCTCATAATCTAGCATTTTACATGCCATACTGAGCTATGATTAGATAATTTCCTTATTAAAATAAGTTCCCTAATGTTAGGGCTTTCTCAGCAATTAATGACTGCTAATTACTCTGAGATGGTAAATAAAAGATAATCAGAAGTTCTGGTTTATCACTTTTGATTGTCCACACAAGTTTCCTGTATATATAGAAAGAATGAGTGAGGTAGGGCATTGATATTTCAAGTTGCATAAGTTTTTTAAAATTACAGTGTCATGTTAATTTCACAGATGGAGTAGTTGTATCTTTCTTGATTTGCAGATGCTTAAAATGGAAAAACCTGTAATTGTACACAGTTTCCTTTATCAGCAGCAGTTTGACATTTCTTCACTACCATATCTATTGCAGTCCAGTGTCTAGGACATACTTACAGACACCTTGAACAAGCACTGACTCAAGCCAATCCAGCCATTCTCACAGCGGAATGTAGTGACACACTTTTGTGATAGCTATGAACCTGTACCCAAGCTAATAAGTCTTGAGTCCAGGTAATAACAATTTTCAGTAAGATCTTATCAGGTCTCTGCTATCTTTTGCATCTCTGCACTATGTTCCTGTGCATAGTTTAGACATGCTCTACTGAGCTTTAGGAATAACTATTCCAGCAATGAATAAAATTGCATCTGGGCTGCACAACAGTCTCAGGTTAAAAAAAAATACTGCGATATCCTGGCCATGAAACTACTATGTTTAGCTGTCTTGATGCACAGAGCCTTATTAGACTTTGGTTCTTGCAAAATTAGTAGGAAAACAAAGATACTTGGAGTCAAAAGCACAGCACACAAATAGGGGAGTTATTTTTATTACCTTGTCACAGCACAGCTTGCAGTAAACTCCACACTATGAATAATTACCTATTTTAGGGCATACCTAACTCATGTCCAAGATGCTGCCACTGTAACAGAAATTAGTATTTGAGCCTTTCAGAGTTTCTGCCTGCTCTGAAAAGGTAGAGCATGTAAAAGAATGAAGTAGACAGTACATCTGAATTACAGAATTATATTTATAGTATGTTGGGATGGAGGTTTGCTGCTTGTTTAGAGAATTGTTTTACCTTTATCTCCCTTTGCACCGGGAAACCCTGGAAGTCCTCTACCTGGAAGACCTGTAATACAGAGACAGCAAAAAAATCAGATGGGACAGTACTTAAATTTAACCTGTAATGACCAAAACTCTATTAAGCAAATATAAAATCTAAAATGGTTTACGCGAAAGTTCTTCAGGGCAGAGAATGTCTTTGTTCTGCATTGGTATTGTATCTAACACAATGGGTCCTGTATGACTGAAAACCCTACCCTAAGAAAAGGCAGGCCTGCTCCATTATTTCACAGCTCAGTTGCAGACTGAAATAATTGCCAAAACATGCCAATTTTTTAAAGTATTGCCAGCTTTTATGAAATACATTCTTTCAATTCTCAGATCATCTCAATGATCACCTTTACAATGATGGGTGATAGTCAGTAGTTCGAAAGACAATGTACCATATTTTCTAATGTTCCATCCAAAGTACCTCAGACCCAGAATCCACCTCTAACAGCTTCTGTTGTGTAGCCTGTTTCTGTGCATTTTCATACCCCACAAACTTAATGTGACAGTCACAGTACCTTGTTCACCCTTTGCACCAGCTGCACCTGGAATACCATCATAACCTGGTTCACCTTTCTGTCCAATGGAACCAGCAAGACCCGGAACACCAGGTTCACCTGAAAAATAATTGACATTCTCATTTCATCTATGAATCATCAGATATTTTTTAATGTTGTTTTTTACCTCTAAAGAAAAGCTTAACTTATTCTTCTGCTCCCATAGAGACCAGATACTGCAAGATGACTTCAGTGTGACTTCTCCAAGGCTACTTCTGAATTAAATCAGTGTGAGACAGGGCTCAAGTATTACAGATTTTGACAGCTAATTTTCATGAATCTCAGTGAGTTTAGAGTGCAGGAACTTCAGGAAAGACTTGTGAATAGCACAGCCCATTGTCCAATGAGATGATGTGTCCTGCAACCAGCAAACTAGGAACACAAGGCTCCAAGTTAAAAAATGCTGTTATGCTCATAACAGCAATGGACTTATTCTCCTCCCTACTTTATTTCCTCTTTAATATCTAAGTAATGATGTTAAAGTTGTGAATCAGGTTTGGGCCCATGGATCAACTTCACTGTTTTTAAATGAACTCAGAAACAACAGAACTAATGGCCATAACAACAATCGGTCTTGTGGAAGGTGGTAAAATCTCTTCCACAAAGAGTGCAAAAGAAGTATTAGCACCACACTACACTGACCCAGATTTACCTGAGTCATTTTGCTTATGAAATTAACAAATATATCAGGAAATATCTGAGCCAAAGCAAATGTAGAATGCCACTGTCTGGAGGTGAACTATACTTTAAGTAGCATTTGGTAGTTTATATTTCTTTTCTACCTGGTTCTCCTTTTAAACCTGGAATGCCACTTAAGCCAGGAAGTCCTTTTTCACCCTTTTCTCCATGGCGACCAGGGCTCCCTAAAGAAAGGAATAAGAAATGGGTTTACATGCAGGATATCTGGTAAAAGTTTCACATGAGTTTTTCATTGCAATTTCTGTTTTATTAAAGCATAAAAACTTGCCTGGAAATCCTGCCATGCCAGGGGATCCTTTGGGACCTGGGGCACCCGGCATTCCAGGAATTCCTGCACTACCCTTTTCACCCTTGTCTCCAGATAAACCTGGACTACCCGTTCTTCCTGGTTCTCCCTAGAAGAAGCAGCACACATTATAAAATCCACACATTAATTCTGAAACGGCTTTTTCTGTTTGCAATGGTAAATGTCACCCCTCTTATCCATCAGACTTATAAAGACTTTATTTCTTTTTCCATTTAGAAACAAAGTCATTTAGGACTCAATTTGGCATTAAATTCCAGTGTCAGAATTATTGACTTTTCTGGCAATTGCTTAATACCTACATATGAAAACGAGGAGTTTTCTATGCATTTTTATGACAATTTTTACAAAGTTTTTTCCAAATTAGCCTCTTAACTTACTTATTACACTTAATCATCATCAAAAAAATATTTTTCTAAGTCTTCAGCAACTTTGCTACCAGATTAGTAAGATTTATTTTTACAATTTTTACTTATAAATTCATTATTACTGTCATTGTATAGCTAGGAAAAGGAGTGTGACACAAATGAGAATCCTATTAGAATACTATTACAGATTAAATTAACTTTACAGACAGTATTAAAATAGTTCTCTCTTCAGTAATATCTGAGCATTTTATACGTTTTTTCAGCTTTCCAGTATCTCTGTAAAGGTACAGAACTGAAACACAGTTTCAGTGTGATTATGTGCCAATTTGTAAGGCCTTTCAACTTTATTTACTTCATATTTTTACAAGTTCTTCCCCTCCCCCACATTTCTAGCACTGTAAATTAGGCTACTCTGAAATAAGAACCCCACAGATAATGGTCCCATCACACAGAATGCATCTAAACCTGTGCATATGCACATTATTCAAGTTTCTTATCAGGTATTTAAATGAGTGTAACAGAATATCTAATAAAGTATCTTAAAGGCCAACAGCATCTTTTCAAATGAGGTACTTGGTAGAGACAGACAATTAAATCCTTTGGGGTGTAAATACCTTCTCACCAGGAGACCCTGGAAAGCCAATTCCAGGAAAACCTGGTGCTCCTTTGTCTCCTTTTTCACCTTTTTGCCCAGGGAACCCTGGTGTGCCTGGTGAACCTGGTACTCCCGGCAGACCCTTTTCTCCAGGTGTTCCTAGTAAGAGAAAAGGTAAAATGGATGTGTCAGAACTAGTGGTACCCTAGCAGTGTTGATAATGACTTTTCAGTGTTGCCTTAGCTATTCAGAGCTAGAAAATCAATGTAACTCACTAAAATAGCTAGTAAATTAAGTTTTGAGATTCACTCTCTAAATGGAACTTTTTATGGGAAGATAAGCTTTCCTCATAAGAGAAGGTTGTAATATTGGATTCAGAATAAACAGAGCTCTTGCTAAAAATATGATTTGAACAAAAGTTTGTGTTGACTTTAATGCATTCAAATAGGACCACAGTGACAAATGCTGTAGCAAATTTTTCTATCCCCCTTTACCATTTCAGTCTTTCACCTTTGATTTCCTAAATATGCTAGACACAAGACCATCTGAATGACGACAAAGTTCGTGTGTTGAGATATAGGTTCTTCTCCAGTCTATTCTTTATCAATGCCCTCCACAAAACCACTCTTTCTAGACCACTACAGTTTGTAACTAACATACAGTACACAGAAAATCACCAAACATTTTAGAACGGGGAAAAGGTACAAGAAGCTGAATGCAGTTCACACACTAGCAGAGACAGAGACAGACAGACAAACAGATATCACTTGAAAAACTGCCTGCCTGCAACAAATACACAAATCCTACACATCCAGGTAAATGATTTGCGTGGAGAAACTTAGGAAATTATTCTATTATTTGTGTATCACAAAAGAATTGAGAAAGCAACATCTCAAAACTCTCAAGTTCAGATGCTGCAAGTAGTGTAACTGTTTAGTACATCTACACCAACAAATATTCCATACAGGTCTCTCATAATGTTCTGTATTAACTTGATGAAAACAATAATAAGAAGTTCCCAACAATCAGTACCTGGCAAACCCATTTCACCAACCGATCCTTTTTGTCCTGGAATTCCTGGATCCCCTGGGTACCCTGGGGGACCCTGATCACCTTTTGGTCCTACAGACAGCAGAGAAATTAAGAGCCCATTAGTCAATGTGGTTTCAAATACCTAACGAACAGTCTAACCTCTCTGTTGCTAGTTTCAGATATACCTGGATGTCCTGGAGTACCAGGTTCACCATCCTTCCCCGGAATTCCTGGTTCTCCATATTCCCCACGTAACCCTTTTTCTCCTGTTGCTCCATGGTCCCCTGGACACCAAGAAAAACACAGTGAGATCAGTTTGATTAAAATTTACTGTAATGCCATATAATAATCCGTCTAGTTAATTTTTGGTCACTGTTGCTTCTCCCTGCTGAATAAGGAAATGGCTGAATTCAAGCTTCATACATTGTGCAGTAGAGTCACACTTGAGTAAAACACAACTCCCCGGACACTAAACCATGCTGAAGAGAGGCTGCAAACTATTACAATGTTACAGGTGTCTGTGCAAATTACAAGGCAAGTTATATCTTTAAAAGAAATTGCAAATGACCATGTGTTTGAGTTAGATTAATGATTTACTTCAGAAATGCCAGAAAATATCAGGTGTTAACAAAAATAATTGATTTGACTGTTATGCTGTCTAAAAAGGTACATGTGAACAAGCAGTTCACAGCTAGAAATTTGATGTTTCCTCAGTTCTACTTAATATTAAAGCACCTTCATAATTCCAGAAGGCTCTACCTCTTACTCTGTAGTGTGCTTCTTCTCCAGCTTTAATGTCCAAGTTTTTTGGTCATAATCCTTTCTGTCAGCGTTGCACACAGATGCAGGACAATAGGTTACTGAAGACAGCTCACTGAATGTTTCTAAGTAAGTGGATTATATTAAAAACATCCCAAGATGCCCGAAACCAAATTTTCGCATTCAACATCGCTGACAATTTTTCATAAAAATACTGTGCCTTTTCTGCACAGTTTGTATTTTAGAAACTTTTTAAAACTTTACTGTGATGTTTATGCCTAGACAGATGAAGGCAGCTAATAGACAAGCAAAGTTATGAAGTATAACTAGGTTACTTTTCTCTCTTGGTACTAAGTATCTTTGTGATGAAGAGGACAAGATGAGCAGAGTAACAGTGGGAATTTGCAGGCTGGGATCTGTTTGGAACCTACCCTTCCAGGCTGTGTGAGCCAGGCCAATCTGTAGACTCTATGGGTTCAGGAAAAGGTAAAGCATACAAGTTTGCAAGCATGCATTATTAGTGCTGGAGAGATGGAGAGGTTAGAAACCAAAGAAATTAACCATTTGAATTTCTCAGCAAAGGCTTCTTTATATGCGTGTAACCAGTCTGCCTAATTTCTGGAAAAAAAATATAACTAATTATCAATCAGTCAACCTACAGGTCAAAAGTAGATAAGAAAGTAATGAAAAACAACCTATGTAGATTTGTTTTAAGGCTTTTCATACCACCATATATATCAAGATCAGAAACAAATGAGAAAAACATAATCTAGATAAAATCATTATGGACTGGGAGCCTCATCAAACACAAAAAAGACCCCAGAAGCTGCATCTCAGCTTAAAGGCAGATGCACTCCACACTTGCTCCTGCCCTCCCTTGCAGTCCCTGGCTGTCCAAACTGGGAGGCGTTGCCTATCCACACGCCTGGGCTTCTCTGAGACCCAATTGGGACACAGGAGCCCAGGTCTCACTCTGACAAGTAGTCAGGATGTGGAGAAAAAAGGTACCTAGACTAGGAAACAGTTCAAATATAAAATTGCATAGTTATTGGTGATGCACTGCCAAACTGGAAAGGAGTCTCAAGTGCTCTGTCCTGGGCCCAGCAGCGAATACATAGATGAAATATACCAGATGAGAGGAAATTGGAAAGGCTTGAAAAGAGGACAGGACTGCAGAAGGTTTTTGAAGAGTTGGGAGTAAAGGTTGAAAATCAACATCATACAATTCAAAAAGTGTAATACACCACATATGTGGTAAGGAGAAGTCAAAAGCATGCATACAAAATGAAAAATGATTGCAGAGGCAGCAGTCCAGAAGTGAAGGACTAAGGATTAAAACTGAAAGGGAAATTTCATTCTACCAGTGCCTGAGTTGAAGTGCTTCCCTTCTTTCAGCAAATGCACTCTAACAAGGATGCACCCAAATTCGGGAGATGTCAGAAAGTGTAACAAGAACAATAATTATTTCAGAAAACATGATACATAATGAAAGGTTGAAGGACTTGGTTGAGGGAAATGGAAGACTATGTGATCTTGGTAGCTCCCTTCTAAGCCTTATGCTTCTATTTTAACTAAACCAGTTATCATTTATTTAAAAAACCTTATGGGATTTTTTAATTAAAAACATAATAAAGAAGGCTAAATAATAAAAATATATAAAATATTCAGTATTTTTTCTTTGAAAAGAAAACCAGGAGAGAAAAGGATCTTAAAATACTAACTTTTATGTAGCCGTAAAAATAAAAATTCCAGAAGAATGCATTGTCTAAAAATAATATCTACTACCATTAAGCTTCTAAATGGAAAGCTGATTGCCTTTCTCCTGCATATTTCCAGATATTTTTAAACTGTCACACATGTGTACTTCCTGAAATTTCTTCAGGTCACAAAGAAACATGTGTGCTAAAATAGGCTGCTCACTTTTTCTCATAGTACCAGTTGGTCTTCATGGCCACAACAGTGTTTCCACTACATGTTTTGCATGAAAGACAGCTTTTCTCTTCTGGCAGCTCTAGTTTCTACTTTTACAATTTCTTTTGTTTTGAGAAAGTTTTCTGATAGAAGAGGTACAATGGATTTTATAAGGGCAAAGTTAACCTCTTCCATCCAACCAAAACCCTTCCATTTTGTGATTAATCTTTGTTTCCATGGAGTTGAAAGATACTGGAAAGGTATCTGCACTTGCTGTGTGACATTCTTTAATCTTATTTTTAAAACTGTTGTCTAAAACTAATATACATCTGAACTCAAATCATTGCTGCTTAACAGTATATGAGTATTAATTACACTTATCCACAGTTAGAGACTGAAGTTACCTTTTTCTCCTTGATCTCCCTTTTGGCCTTTGAGACTAACCATGTCCATGTTGTCCATCGTTCCAGGTTTTCCCGGGAGACCAGCTTCACCTTTATCTCCTTTGACACCAGGATCTCCCTGTGGTCCAACTATACCTTTGAAACCTTGGCTACCTATAAAGGCATAGCAGAGAATATTGTAGCGGCATATAAAACTTTGCAAAAGTATTTAGTAGATAACAACAAATTAAATTAGCTATTTATGCAAATTTTGAGCACTGAATACCATGCTCTGGAACATCTCATCTTTTGCATACTAAGTTTTTTTATACCAGGGCTTCACAACTGTCAAAAAGTTGACATATTTTTCCCACTTCACAGCCATTAATTTTAGACTCTCAAATCAACAGGGATAGGAGTTTGGCAGCAATACAGGGCATTATTTGAAGAATTTCATTAAGACCTTCCTGCTAGCTTTTTGTAATTTCAAACACGGTATTTATATTGGTGTAATATCTACAGCATCCTTGCACCTAGAAAACCCTTAAGCTGTTGAAGAATGGATCAAAAATCCTGGCTAAGTCCCCAAATACATGACTGCTTCTAGGATACAGTTTTCTAAATTATTCTATTTCTAAGTTACAGGGAATTACTTGACATAAAACATTCCTTAGGCCAAGCAAACTCCTTGTATTTGCTTATTTCCAGACTTGTCTTCTGCTGTGAAAAAGGTGTATTTTACAATTTTGATTTTGAGAAAATCTCTCTCTTACCTTTTTCACCAGGGAACCCTCGATCTCCAACTGGTCCAGGAGTTCCTGGTAATCCAGGAGTTCCCATAACTCCCATTTCTCCTTTGGCTCCTGAAACAAAGTGAATAACAGAAATAAAGCAAGCAGTGTAAAAAAGTACAAGGAAACAGAATTATTTATTCCCTATCATATTAGGAATAGCACTACTTAAGGAAAAATGGAATAAAGAATATGATTAATCTCAAATAGACTGATAGAGGAAACAGTAAAATTAATGTTATGCAAACCAGAATAAACCACAGTGTGTAACGGGTTTTTGACAGATTCTTATAACTTGCTATTACAGTAAACAATGCTGTCATTAACAAAGGCATTATTAAAACCACAATCTATCACTGCAACTGTGCAGAATAATCCCCTCTCATTATTACAGGCTAAAGGCTAGTTCCTGCAAGTTGCTGGATTTGATCCACCAAGGGACTTGAGTAGCAATTCAGTTACAAGCCCACAGACCTGCTTTCCTGATATCAGCCTGTGTGTTTTCGCAAGCTTAGGCAATTTGATGGATCAATTCCTAACCGAGTGAAAGGACACACTAACACAACTTACTTAAACAGTTGTCAAATGTGCTTGTTTCTGACGGAAAAGATGTTTACCTGCTGATCCTTTCTGTCCAATGTTCCCCTGTGGACCTGGCAGGCCGGGTAACCCCACAGACCCTGGTACTCCAGGCTGGCCCTGGCTACCTTTGTCCCCTTTTGGTCCTGGCATATCTAGACCTGGGATACCAGGGAAGCCTCTCTCTCCTTTTATTCCAGGAAATCCTAGGAAAAACAGAAGATACAGGATTAGTCCTTAATGGAAGCACAGGGAACAGCATTAACAAGAATACCCAATAATGTCCACCTGCTGTTCAAAAATTACATGGCATGAGGAATGAAGACTCAAAGTCAGACAGCAGAAATAGCCCTCTTTTTCTAAGTGAGGCTTTGATCCTGTATTACCCACTGATGACTTGAAGAGACCAAACAAAATTACAGGCATTTTCTCAGGAGGCCTCACTCTGCTTTAGAACAGACAGAGGAGGCCCACTGACATGCCCCCTCCATACAACCTCACATGGCAAAACAGTTCACAAGCAAGGCTTTTACCAACACTAATATCCATTTATTCCAAAAGTCCATGCCTGTTCACTGACATGGGAGTATTTTCCTCTCACCTGGCGGTCCCTGGGGTCCTGGCTGCCCAGCGGGTCCCGGTGATCCCTGCGGACCCAGCCCTGGAGCACCTGGAGGGCCCTGTAAGCCTTGCAGTCCTGGGAGGCCAGGGTCACCTGTAGGGACACAGAGACATAGACTGAGCACCCTCTCTTGTTATTTGAAATCTTGTTTGCTGACAATGCTAGACAAGGTGCCTCGGAAACACCTGATCAACAAGACCTCATTTCAGCCTCTAATACCTCCTGCCTGGGCTCAGTGGAAGGACTGCTCTTTGCTGCTAGCATTTGCTAGCAGTGGTTGGTAGGAGAAAACAAAGGGAATGAAAAAGGGCAATACCCTGAGATATCAGTAGGATATCTTAGTGGTGAATAGACTTTTTGCTGCATCTTTGGGGGTGTGACCTTAAAAATGAAATAGAAATACAGAGCTGTATTTTGCCGGTGACATTATTTTTTTGGAATGCCTGGAAAGCCTTGCTCGCCACGTAAGCCAGGCAGTCCTGGATTTCCCTTTTCTCCAGGGATCCCAGCTGGACCTGGGGGGCCTGGCAATCCCTTAGCACCAGGAAGACCTACACCAGGTTCACCCTAGCCGAAAAAACACAATAGATTTGTAATTAACACATCAAAACCAGGAATTCATTTACTGACTGCATTTAAACCACTCAGAAGCAGAGCACTATATGTGACTTCAGGGAAGAGCTGTAAGCCCGTTAGCATTCATTTCAAGCATTCATCCATCCACTCTGTTTCTTTGCATGCATAGTGAGAAACATAAGATCGAGGACAGTTTGACCAACTTTTTTTTTTAAAGAGCAGGATCTTTGCACACATTTCTGTTAACATGGGCAGTCACACGTAACAGTATCAGCAGCTGACACCTACTTTTTGACCTTGTAAACCTGGCACCCCTGGCAAACCATCCAGCCCAGGGGTTCCTGGAGTGCCTGGCAGACCAGGCGAACCAGGCTGACCTTGGAAACCTATAACACAAAACAAAATTCACATAATTACTGTCTCTGCTTGTAAGTGTCCTCTGCTGTTTCTTCAAGCCTCTAACTGAACTATTCACTTCCTCACAGGGACATGTAGTCTTTTATGTTAGACTTCTGGGGATGCCAGAACCAAAATATCTCAACAGAGATTCAAATGCTGAGTTTCATGCAGCATTTGGCTTCTGATGAGAAACAACCACCCAGAAGAAATAAATGCTGAGTGTCTGCTTTTAAATTAATAGCCTTGTGGGTTCATGTCATTGATAAACATCCTGTCTGCAAAACTGGTTTCCCAAAGTCTTCTTCAGAAAAGGCAACTTAATGTGTGGAGCATCAGATTGAGGGATGCACAACAAAAGCCATCTGTGAATCGACACCTTTTGTTCAGTATATGTCCTGTGACATGTCCTACATGTCCTGCTCTGGGTCACACACCAAAGGTTTCTATGTCACAGCTGGCTCATGCACTGCCCCTTGAGAATGCAGGAAGGAATACAGAAAATATTCTGCAAACCATTTAAAGATACCACTCATTCAACACCAGCACACACTCAATACATGGAGAAGAAGCTCCTCTCCCAGGCAAAGGTCAGAGTCAGTGGGAAATCCAGCTTTTAGACTAAGCCATGGGTCAGAGCTGAATTCAAGGAAGGGTCCTTGAAAGAAATTTATTTGATATGTCATTCCTTTCTTTCTGGCATCAAAGAGCATACAGCAATCTTTTCCCAAATGCAACAGGCCTCTTAACACCAGTTTGGGAGGAATTAGATGTGGTCACTGGTAAAGATTAGCCCCTTCTCCTTATTAAGTCTCCCTGTTCATTGGTGTGTGGAATCATAAAAAATGAAATAATAATGGAGACACATAAGAATTGGGGACTGAGGTGGCTGCTGAAAGCTCAGTCATCTAGTCCCAGCAGCAGCACTACTAAATACATTTCCAAAAATCCAAAACTAGAATATGAACATCTACAGTCCCTTTAAGCTATGTGCATAACCTGACAATGGTCATGCAGGTAAGACTAAACTTATGCTGAATAAGCTGGTATTCTAATCAAACCACTCTCAGTTGCCTGCAACACAGCAGAGCTGCTAGCTCTGGCCCTAAAATGCTGTAGTTATATCATCACGTTTTTTTGACCAACCACACACAATACTTTATCTCTCAGAAAGGTCATCATGTCTCTCAGCAACCTCAGTTGCTGTAATGTCGGATGTTGTACTATATTACTTTCTATTCTGGCAGTAGTTTTGACACTGTCTGTATCTCCAACACATTGCTGCACAAAGCCAGTAAGCACTGAAAGCACGCTTATTGTGGTTCATGTGGACATTCACAAGGAAGGTTCTTCAGCTACACATCCCAAATCTCATGTAGTTATGTCTGGATGATAGTGCAGGCCCCCATCCACACTCCAGTTACACCAGCTCTGTTAGATGGATAACTTTATCTTACCTTTGGGTCCTGGAGGTCCAGGGAACCCTATACCTGGCTGCCCAACAGCACCTTTTTCTCCTGGCAAGCCAGGTCTACCTGGAAGCCCAGGATTCCCTTTGTCACCTTTGCAGGAGAAAACAAGACGAATGTTAATACAAAGGCCAGATTCTGGGGAACAGAGCCATTATAATCATCAAAGATTAACATGCTACTGTACCTTGGGGTCCAGGGAAACCAGGTGGCCCAGGAAGGCCATCTGTTCCAGGAGGTCCAGGGAGTGGTACAGTTCGACCTGCTTCACCCTTTGCTCCTGTGAACGTAAAGATGTGTTAAGTACAGGAACCGATAAAATTAAACAAATGAGCTTCACCTCGTCAGAAGTATTATTCCAACCATGCCATTACAACTGACTTGTTATGAAGTTTTTTGATGAAGATTCATAGAAAACTAGGATTAACTCATTTTAGGATGAACCTAATCCATACCATTTGGCCTAACTCTTCATGAAAATGGCCTGAAAAGATTTTCAAGTATACTGCTGAAAGCAAACACTGATTTAAATTAGTATTTATGTTTCAAATTCTGTTGATCCCCTAAGTTGTACCACTTAAAGGGTAAAATATTTTTTTGTTTTTAAAGAAGCATACTATAGCATTACCTGGAAGGCCTGGTAAACCTGGGGTTCCAGCAAAGCCTCTGTCTCCTTTGTCACCAGGTAACCCTGCTATGCCTATCCCAGGAGGGCCAGGAAAACCTCTTTCACCACGTACTCCAGGGAATCCAGGTTGGCCAGGGGGACCACGTTCTCCTTTCAAGCCAGCTGTGCCCTAAGTTTTGGAAAGTGTAAGTGTACTTCTTGCCTGATTGGCAAGATAGAACACATCATCCTCTCAAGTTCAATGGAAAAAGGACTGGGCTCCACATGGAATAGCACATGGAAATCATACCTAGTATGCAGTGCAGCTAACTGGACTATTTAGGCTATGGTCCCACCGGTGGATGTGGGAACAAATGTGAGCTCCATATCCAGCTCCATATCTGTATCAGCTGAACTGCATCAGTGCAAGACTTTGAAGCATTAGTTTCCATAAGATGAGAAGTATGCTAGAACAGAGTTGAATCTAGTATTAACAATCCCTACTTGGCTAACTGCATTCCTTCAATCCTCTTCAGATATCAACTAAATAATCTATAAGAGTTCTCACTATCAAGCTGTGAGAAAGGGAGAAAGGACCAAAACTATTGTCCATGCCCACAGCTTTGTGGGGGAAGTAACATTGCTGCATGGTTCTGAAAGTAACAAGCACTGCAATCTGAATACCTCTGAGTCAGATCATTTATTTGAATGACATGTAAAAAGAAGGGATCAAAATCTAACTCAGAAATACTCTGTTGTTGAAGAACCATCTTCTCCACTAGTTACAGGAAAACTGGAGTCCTCCCCAGAGGAGGAATGAACTACTCAAAGTAGGGACAAAATGTTGAACAATTAATGAGGCCAATAAACATAACACATGTATAGGGAATAAAAACACGTGAATTCTGATCTGAAAGACAATATATATAGGACATATGTAAACATAAAGAAACACATAGTAGGACAATGTGTAAACATGAAGAAACACACATACCGCTGCTCCTTTTGGACCCTGGAGACCTGGCAATCCATCTTTTCCTGGTCTTCCTTCTCTGCCAGGAATACCCGGTTGTCCTGGGAAACCAGGATCTCCCTTTTCACCTTTCAGGATAGAATCGTAAGTAAAATCTCCTGGTTCTCCTTTTGCCCCAGGGCTGCCCATAAGTCCTGGAGTGCCAGGGGGACCCTGAAATTTCATAAATTCAGATGTCATCAGTTGCCCTACCAACTCTTCAACTCATACAAAACAAAACAAATCTTCAGATATTAAAGAGTAAACCCAAATCAAATAAACCACTAAGTTTTCAATTGAAGAGGTCAAATGAGAGTATTTTCTAGGACACAGCTGTGTGAATAAGGAATTAATGCAAATCTTCTTGTCTTGACCATTTTGTCATTTATCATATCATAGGTGTATCATTCTAGACAGTGCATATAAACTTACACCACTCACACAGGAACTGCAAGCCATGACACCAAAATCTACTCTGAATTTTCAATAGACTACCCACTGGATTTTAGTTATGTATATTTATACAGTATCAGAATCAAGGTAATCTAGGTTTTTTAAAAAGGCCTTCTCAGAGTTAAAGTGTCGCCCCAACCTTTAAATGGTAAATTCTGTAACATCACGGAACCTATTTCCCTGACATAAATGCAACAAAAGTATTTCTACATTTCCATGGTAACTTACAGTACCAGCAGAAGTACTTATAGGGGAAAATAACACACTTCCACTATGCAAAGACAAGCTCAGCCAAACTTACAGGTTTAAATTGCTTATACAAGCCCCTGTCATGTTTTTTTTTAATTCAAAACTGTTTAAATCAGCTATAATATTCATTAAACATATAGATTGTCTACAAAATGGACCTCATTGTCTTATACAAAGCTCAAATGTTATTTGCACAGGAGCTAAGGCTAAGTGGAGGCTGAAAGCTTCTCCTTGTGTAGTTTATTTAGGACACTTAGCTAAAGCAAATACAAATTTCCCTTCATAACGTTCATCAATTTTTTTACAATTAACAATCACAGTCAGTTGGTACTATCAGAGTACTATGCACATGCTCAGAAAAGAGTTCCGTAAGCTCTCCTGGGAAGAAATTATCTACATAACAATACACCTGTAGGATTTCTAGAATTCAGTTTTTTCTGCACATGTTTTCTAGGACTGATATGAGCTTCTCTCATAGGGACAGTCTCTCTAATTTCAAACAAATCAGAACTACTCACTGGAGTAGCAAAGCAAAAACTTCATGGGCAATGCCCACAGCTTATGACTGATGTGTGCCCTCCACTAAAACCTGAAACAGAACATAGTCACAGGTAATCTTTCCATTAGCTTTAGTTGGTCCTGAATCGGACTCTGATTCTCTGGCTTGGCTCTGAACAACATAAACTTGCTCTCTGTGGAGTTTTTCCAAGCTAAACTATATGCTGGATCACCACCTGGTTGAACTATGTGGAGCAAAACAAGCTTTAAAGCGTTCAGAACAGCAGTCAGTTGATGAAAGTTATGAACAGAATTTAAGAGGCAATAAAAGGAAAATGTAAAGGTGTGGCAAAACATGTGCCGAGAACAAATGCTAGACATGAAAAAACCTTAAATACATTAGAAGTCTTATTTTTCTCCACTTCTTTCATAGATTCCATTTATGTATATATATAATAAATTCAGTCACTGAGTAACAGCATCATTTTTATCATGGTGAAAACAGAGAATGAACTCCATTTCAGCTAACTTTCATTGGCTAAATTCAGGCATCTAAGCTTTATTTATACTCAAGGGAGACAAACAGATTCCTTGAGTAAGGAATTCATACAGGTGGCTTGTTTTAACTTCTGATGGTGCCTCTCTCTCAGCAATGGTGATAGAAGGAGCTTGCACAACTCCAGTGTGTGTTAAAGCTAGTGCACGTGAATGTCAATCAAAACTGCTGTTGCCACAAATGATCAGCTGGAAGGAGAAAACAGCTTTGGAAAACAAAGTTTGGGAAGACTCTGGCAAACTCACTTTAGGAATGGTGTCAAAATCCACATTACGCTACAGAAACCTGTATGCTAAGGTAAGTCTTGACAGCATACTACAGTGTATGTAGGGACACTCAAGTGAAATATGACAATATCAAATGTAGTTGTGCTAGTACTGCGCTCACCTAGGAATAATTTGTTACATTTTAGTCACGTGCTATGCTTATGGCTGTCCTGCTTCTGGTATCCAGCCTTATTCACTGAAAGTTATGTTATGCTGCATCAGCATAAGTCACAAGTAATCACATAAGCAGGATAATTTTCACAGTCTTCCTTTATTTCTTCAAAATTACTTAGCTTTCCTGCCAACTAATTTTGTTCTATGTAATATACTACACACATTACCCAAAATTCAAACAGCTAAAGTATATTCCATGCTAATACTAGATTGCTTCCAGTACACTAGATGGCACTGTCTCTCCCTCAATATACATGTACACAACAGCAGAGTTATTGAAAAGATTCATGAGGTCAGGGCAGACCTGCATCTGTTTCATGTGAAATTCTACTTTTTACACAACTTCACCGCTTAGCTTGCTCAGCCAGAAGGTCATGTGTCCTGCTAAGTTCATATCATGGGTAAGCACAGAAATATATCCCATTTCTGACAGCTCTTTTTTCGTCTCATAGCTCAACCACACTGCTTCCTAGCTTATTTTGCTAGGCATAGTTCCTTAATTTTATCATTTCACTGTGCTGGTCTGTTTTTAAACAGAACTATTACAGAACTATTACACAACCACACTGGTAATAATGACATGTATTTTGATCACATGCCTCATAGGACAAAGCATTACTTACAGGTACTCCTGGAAGGCCATCAAGTCCAGGTAAGCCTCTGTCACCCTTGAAACCTGATTGTCCTGGAAAACCTTATCAGAGAGACAAAATACAATTCTATTTATTACATGCTTTTACAAATACCTCATTGTATGTTTATTCTTTGTGATCCTTCTCAAAGTGTCTCATTCGAACCCCAGCTATATCAACATAATGCTGCTATAGTCAGTGAAGTTATCTAGATTCATGTGCTATATGTGTCTGCATTCATAAACTCAGAAGTTGATGATTCATTTGACTTAGGAATTAATTCACTTTACTATTTAGATCTATCCTGTAACCACTGCAGTTTTCAGATTACCTAAACTATATTAATAGAATAAGACTAGAATAAACATTAGGTATAGTATCGTATACCGTTCAGATACGGTGTTTCTCTCATATGGTAGCATAAAAATAATTATTTATTTTGACCACAGAATTTAATGTTAGGATTAGGAACATATGTATGGGCCTCTGCCCAGCCTGGGAACATAGAGCAAATGCTTCCCACACTATTTTTCACTTTCATAATCTTCTGTGAAAATATTTGGGCCACTGTTTTCAAAGACCCTTCAGTGCGGCCAGTTTCTGGTTCCTTGGTAATTCTTGTTGATTGTATAAGAAATTTGGAATCAGGCTAAAAATAGGAATATTCCCTCCTCCTTCCATTGGTTTCACAAACAATTTGATTAGTGGGACAAAAAGTAAGTAATTTTATCACATATGCTGCATGTTTAGATTCTAGCCTACACAGTTAATTCTCAGGTAGTTAACAAGATTTTACCTGCTGGACCTGGCGGTCCTTGTGGTCCTGGAAGTCCAGGAGGTCCCACTTTATCACATAAGGCACAGGATTCACCTTTGTCACCTGAAAAGACCCATCAAAACTAATAAATAACATTGAAAACATTTAAGACAATTGTAAGCCAGTGGATTCAGAGACAAATGTCAATTTAATAATCTTCATGTTAAAAGAATAAAAATAAATTTATAACTTCTAATTACATGCTTCAAAGAGAATTTATGAGCAAACCGATATTCAATTTTTAAAGGAATGGCATGAAAATCAACTTAAGTCTTATCGTAGGGATATTATTTAACAGAATGGCTAAAAGGGACCAGGCCGAATAGGATCAAAAAGAAGAAGAAAAATATACGCTGGGTATAGAAGAAATGAAATTATTAAAACAGGAAAAGTAGAACATCTGTAGTCACCACAGTTCTGTAGTTTTAGAAAAAAAATAAGCAGAATGAGATTATGACGGATCAACCATCATGTAGATTAGTGAAGCTCATTTTTTGTATACGTCCATTCAGTCAGTGCTGCTAAAACACGTGGTTGACAGTCCTATTTATAGGTGTTACAATTTTAGCTTCAATTATACTCATGGCAATGATTCATAAACCATTTCAAATCCCAACTCATCTCCCCCTCTCTAATTCTTCATCTCGGAATTCACATTTTAAATTGCCACGAACAGTTCAATTTACACTTAATGGGGCTATACTCAACCCTTGTTTTCTTCCCAGCTCTTTTTTCAGCCCTGTGCTCTTTACTGCTTTGCAACAATGTGTAGGCTAAGTGAAACGTAAAAGTTTGTGTCACATAATTAAATACATAGTATCCTTCTTTTACTCACCAGAGACTCAAGAAACATCTTTCATGTCCATGAACTATTTGTTTAACTAACTTTAAGCACACTTTCTCTGGATCTAGTCTAACTAGCTCAGCCTCTTTAGATACCCAAGCTCCAGGGTGCAGACCATTAGAAAGCAATCACTTTAAAATAGTATTACCTTTCTCTCCCATCTCTCCTGGAAATCCGTCTCTTCCTGGAGGTCCAGGACTACCTGGTGCACCAGGTTCTCCCTGCTGGCATTGATCAACTCCATCTGCAATGGAAATCCAAAAAAGAATATAGTTTGACAAGTGCAAGTTTCTGTTATAGGGTTGCATTTCTGAATGTCCCAGCTGAATGTGTCTACAGGTAGAGATAAGTCAGGATATCATTTGATTTTCCTATTTATTTGCTTTACTCTGAAAAATTTGACTGGGGTTCTGTATATACCGATTCTATATATAGTATTTAAGAAACCTCAAGAATTACAGAAAACAGACAGGCTTTGCCACAATAAGGTTATAAACAACTTCCACATAAAATCTATTTTTATTGTAAATTTTGGCTAAGAAAAATGCTGTGCGTGAAAAATTGTTGTTTTGAACCTGAAGAGAATGGAGAACATTGAAGATCTGAAGAAACTCATTAAATAGAGTTTTTTGTTCTCTGACTTTTGTTTTCAATGTTTTAGGAAACCTTCTAGGTCAAGAGCAGCTTGACATCTGTTTAACTTCACACTGATCAAGCTTTCTGAAAACAAGAGATTTCATATATTAGGAACTGAAACAGTTAACAAATAAGAATATTTAGGAGGCTTAATATGAGAATGCAAATTGTGCTTGTTCTGTTAGATGTTATGGCATGAGTTCTGATCCAATACAATCTCACATAATTTTGGCCAAAGCCAAATAGTCAAAATGTTCATGTGAAGTTTGACAAACAATAGTTAAAAGAAAACAAGTAAAACTGTTCCCATTATGCACCCAAAGAAAGCTAAAGAGTGTCTGGGGAAGGAGCAGAATTAAGCATTGAAGGAAACATGTATGAAAACCAGAAATTGCTCTTATTTTTAAGGGCAAGGTAAGAATGAACAATTTCATTCTGTACTCTAGGTGCTGGATTTTGTACTGCTTCATTGGGAGACACAGCAACAACTAGCCATCTTCAGCGGTTTTTGAACCAAGTATTTTTGGTTTAGGAATTCTGTAGAGCATAATGTTCCTTTCAGTAGTTTTAGACTGCCTAAATTACTGTAATAGAAATATCATTCTTTATGTTGAAATAACAGTTTAACTCACAATATCAGTATTACCTATAGCAAAAGTTTTCCTTTAATAAAAGAGTTAAAACATCAGTCGTAAGGAACTATTAACATAGACCACTTTTATATGTACTTTTTTCACTGCTTCATTGCAGAGGAAAACCAAAACATTTTTCTCTTTAAAAATGCTTTATCAGAATCTAATTATATATAGATGTATAATTTTGTTATCATTACTACTAATATTGTTATGTATTTGTCACACTATTACTAGCTTTTCATTTATCACTCTAAAGCAAGTGTTGATCCCATTCTCCTTTAAGATAATTTCATTTTACAATAAAAACTTAGAGCACACTAATATCTTGGTCAGCAGTTCTTACACCTGTTACATAGATTTGTACTGTAGACTAGTAAATTGTGATACTGAACAGCTATCTTTTATGCCAACAACATTAGTATCTGTTATTTTTTAAACTGAAAATCTATAAATATCTCTAAATCGATACATTAGGCCATGGATGAAACCAATATGTATTAAGGTCAATTATTTTGTTATATTGTACCAGTCAACAATGTAGTTTCGAAGAAACTTTTAAAATATTTAGCGAAGAATCCTTGTCCAGTAAGGAAACAAGTAGCTCACTGCATCATGGAACAGCTTTTACTTGGTTCATTAACAACTCAAATATGTTTCTTCCACAATGCGGACGTGTTCTGATGATTATAGCTTTTACAATCTTGTCTCCTTATCCTTTTTTCATGTGCATGCAATTATTGAGCCTTCATTGTGAAAAGCAATCGAGTACTTTACCTACCTGTTACGCCTGGAGGACCTGGTGGGCCAGGCAACCCTGGGGGACCTGGGAAACCATCTCTTCCAGGGGGTCCAGGTAAAGGGAACCCCGGAGAACCCTTTTCACCTTTTTCACCTCTCTCTCCAGGGACACCAGGTGATCCTACCCTGTCTGGAAGTGGTCGACCTTTGGACAGAATAAAACACAGATGAAAAAAAGTTACAAGCAGGAAGACAGTAACATTATCGACAAATTAGCTTCCATTAGATTTCACAGAGAAACAGAAAAATGTTAGTGCAAAATAAAATAGGACTGTATCTTTACTACTGGTGATTTATGCAAAATTGAGGTTACATACACACTACAGCTCAGATTAACTCACTTTGGTTATGTCTTTAGACAAACATCCTTATTCTGTACTAACTACCTTTCTGAGATTTAGTTTAATCGCTGAGTAGGAAAAAGCAGTGACACTGGAGTTAACTTAGCTGTAACACTTAGAAACTATTACATTCCTCTATATCTCATAATAAACCATATCATAAGCACACCTAGAAACAAACAGTGTCTTTAAGAACTTCAGTAAGTAAGTATTCAAGAAAGCTAGCAGATTTCAGGAATGCTAAAACCAAAACTATTGGCAGGAATAATAAGCAAACAACAGCCAACAAAGAGAAGCAGTTAAACAGGTAGGAAAAAACCTAAGATTTCCTTTTAGCTATTTGTACAGTCACAAGGTCTTCATACTTTAATGAGTTATTTCAGTTCACAACTAATCACTAGACTTGATTCCTAAACTATTTTGAGCCTTCTGCAACACTGCAGGAAGATACGAAAGTCACACATATCTCAATTTCTGTAGGGTAATGACAGACTAAGAACTACTATTTTTCTCGTCTTGTCACACAAAATTCTTTAAGGACTATTACAGTCTGCAGTATATAGTATCTCCTCCCTAAACTGTGAAAAATGTCCTGGCTGGCTCACATGAATTTCATATTTAGCTCACTGACAAGATAGAAAATGCAAGTAAAGAGGGTAATAGTAGTGTCACTGCAGGACGTGTTAGAATCAGATTTCCACAGATTATTTGCTTATTTTTTAAAAAGAAAATATCATTACTTAGTTCAAACATATGTACAGATATACATAACAGTACTGTTGTCATGGACATGAAGATGTTAAGGCTATGAAAAAGCCTACTTTTGCAGGTAAAATAAATTACTTTTATTAGATCAAGTGACATAGTAAAAAAAAATCCAGGAAACCTTCAGAAATTACTTTGACCTAATAAATGTTACTATTTCTCCCTACAAATCTTGTTTTATTATATTTATGAAAACACATATACAGCTGAAGTGAGAGCAAAGCAAACTATCTACATGTGAGTATACACACATAGGTACATATGCACACACTTATGTGTGTATTCATATTTTACAACTCTTCTTGCCCAATGGAGCCATACTCTCTGGGCTCCCTCTGATGACCTGTGCACACTGCTTCTTCAATTTAAGCAGAAAGTTATCAGGGAAGAGCAAGGCCAGATCACATCAGAGACACAAGAAAGGCAACCTACAGGAAGGGTCCAAGGGGATGATTGGACCCTTGAAGAGGCCACTCCCTGGGTGTTCTGTGAGTCAGGCAGCAACTGGCAGCAGCCATGGAGAATATTTCTCACCCAAGAACACAGGAAAAATGCGGATAAAATCAGTGGGTGTAAATTCATACCTGGAGGTCCTGGGATTCCTTGTATACCAGGGAAACCTTTAGAGAGAGAGGTTTTCAGTTAGGCAATGAAGTCAGCAATGCCAACATCAGTGAACTTTTAGCACATATTATTTGAGTACATACTACAGGCTAGTATGCCCTGAATCAAAGGAAACGTCTCCATTGATCTTTCTTCAATAGGGTAAAGTCTGTAATAGGGAAAATGGGGAAGGGAATGCTTGATTTTTCCTGTTTACTGAAGAATTTTGTAAATTATGCACACCAGTTTTAAGCTTAAAATTTAGCTACTGACTTTTTCAAAGGAGGCTCAAAATTCTCTTTTTTATGCTTATATTGATTTCCATCTTTCTTAAAAAAATTCACTGGATTATTTAAATGCCATAAAAACAGATCCCAGTTTATCCTTTTCCAATCTGCAACTGAAAGGCAGTCTTATTTATGATGAGAAGAAGCACCGTACAATCTACAATAAAGTGTAATAACCTGAGAGCAATTAAATGAGTAACTGGAAAATTTCACTGTCACATAGAGCTCCCAAGTTTATAGATAGTGCAATTTTAATTTCCTTTAATAAGAAAACTAAAAGCATAATTCAATCAAAAAGACAAGGCAAAATACATACCTTTTTCACCTTTTTGACCTTTCAGTCCAGGCAAACCTGAAACTCCAGGCTCTCCTTTTTCACCAAAGGTATCTATTGGCCCAGCATCTATAATCTGAATTACAGAACAAAGACTAAGACACTAGAAACACACAACTGTGCTCTCATTTGTATCTCCCCCATCCTGATCTGATGATACAGACGACAATTTGTTTTGTGATAACAATTCTGAGCAGTTTTGGTTATACTTGCAACTTCAGCAATATGTAACAAATGCTGATAGAGGGTTGTAGCTGCTGAGAGATTACCAAAGAAAAAAAAGATTTCCTATTCTACCAAAATTCCTTCATATCAGTAGTAGGATTAAGTGAAGAGCTTTACAGCACCTTTCTGAACAAGAATGATGCCAAGAAACCACAGCATGGTCTGAGCACTGACCCATTAGGCTTGTATTACCTTTTGTTAAAAAATAATCAGTTCTGGCAATTTCTGCTAACATTGATCTGAGCTTCATATATAGGATGCTAACATTTACAAGAAAATATTCGGGAAGTATGTATCATTTTTGAGATCAAATTAGCAGATATGGGGAATTTTCCCCCATTTGGGGAAAGCAGCACCATTAATGATCTATTGACTGACTAATTGATTTATTTTGATTGGCTGACTAATGTCATTTCTTTCGAAGTGTTCAAAAATTATAGACAGCAAAACTGACAGACTTGCTCTTTTGAACTCTCTTTTGGATATTTTGTATTGATTAACAATGCCTATCATTGAAATTCATATCCTTTGAGAGCTCCTCCCCAAATTTCAGACATACTTAGAAGAACTGTATCCAACTTTTGTTTCCATTAAGAAAAAAAGAGGACATGACTGATTAGAATGAGATCAGAAAATGCACAGTCTCTTTTTTTCCTCATTGTTTGAGCATTTTGTCTCTCACAAAATTTATATTTTCGTTTAAGTTATAAATAAAACAAGAATTCATTTTACTTACTCTTCCTGGAGGTCCTGGAAAACCTCGTTCACCTTTGTCACCCTAAATCAAAAGACAATTTACATTTGAATTCCAGATCAGATTTTCTTCTCCACAAAACAGGATTTCCTTAGCATACGAACACTTTGATACAGAATTACACAACTTCCAAAGGAGAAGTATCTGGACCATTACTGTAAGCAGTAAGTAGTTTGTTGGCCGGTACTGCTTTACACTACATAAAGAGAAACTGGAATTTTGAGGAAAGTACATTTGTACATATGCTGGCAGGGCAAAGAGCTTGTGAAAATAAAGTTTGCATTAATCAGTTCATATATGAGATCTAAACCAGGGATACCTAAACTACCTTAATTTTGACTTTTCCTAGTCTGAGTGATGACTTTACAACTTAGTGACATTCATTTAATATTACTTTATGTGCATTCATTACTTTGATGCACATCTATGGACACACCAGACAAGCTCTTAACTCCTCATCCTGTATGATGGAAAGCAAAGGCCACTACTACGTACCTTCGCACCAGGCTCCCCGGGTCGTCCTGGAATCCCAAACCCACCAGGCAAACCCTGTGCATAGAAGATAGCAAAACCAGAAAAGAAAAACCAAATATAGATGCATCTTAGCTCTGGCAGAATCAACATTTTATATTTTCAAAATGGTCACTAATTCACTGAAAGCAACAACTTTAAGTAAAGAATTCAGAAGGTTAGAAAATTTTCACCACTTATAATACACAGACAGTTCTTTGTAAGAAAGAGTACTGGAAATGTGGTAAAATACATACGGGTTCTCCCTTTGATCCTGGATCACCATCTTTTCCAGGCTTTCCCTGCAAAACATCAAGTTCCACTCTGCTTAAACAGACATAAAATACATCCAAGTTCTAAATACAATGGGTGAAACAGCAGAACAAAACCATCACTACTGTAATGCGTTAATCAAAGTGTGCTAACACAGATAACCATGCAGAAGGCCTGTAAATTGTGACTGCCTAGTGCTTATGTTATTCAACATCCTACAAGCTGCAGAATTAAATAAAAACCTGCAAATCTGTTCCCAGAGACAGAAATAACATACAAATTTCCCAGTGAAGGAGGCTTCAAGACAAAATATATCAACAGCAGAAGAAACTGGAACCAGACCTAAAATCTCTTCCCTTCACCGAAATCCAT